CTCACGCCCGCCCCCTTGTACTGGAGTGTGGATTCTTTCCCCAAAGTCCTGCATTTCTAGGCCTGGATGCCTTGGCCTCTCCTCTAGGTCCAAGGCATGGTCCTTTCTTTTCCTCTGCCACCTTCTGCTGGTCATCACGGCTCTAGTGCATTTTAGGTCCACCCTCGTGTAGCCTGCAGAGCCACTTAGCTCGCTGCTTCACCACCTCCTGGCTGCGTCTCTCCGTGTTTGCCCTCCCTACACTCAACTACGTGAGGCACAAATGGAATCACTGTAAAGTACAGCTCCACTGAAAACCCCAGCTGCACACAGGCCTTTTACGATCCGCCCTTCCTGTCTGCCAGTCTCCGGCAGTGTGTGCTTTGCCTTCCCTGGGAAGCCCTGTTTCCATTTTCCTCTTCCTTCATGTGTGAGGTCCTGGCACTCACACTCCTGTGGCTGCCTGTGGAACTGCTTGTCTCTTGGTGTGTTTGGGTGCAGGAGTAAGCAGGGGTCTGAGAAAGGAAGGCCTTGCAGGCCCGTACCTGCCAGCTGCAGGAAGAAGTCAGGTGGCCTGTGCAGCGTATCCTTGGGCTTTAGTCCCCTGCCTCTTTAAGCCCACATCTGCCCCCATGCATGAAGGAGCCCCATTTTTGCAAAGCCTTAACACAAGGCCAGAGTTAGACCAGCGGCTCCATAAGAGAGGGAGTAAATGATTAAAAACCATTTTGCTGTAATAGAGCTAATTTAATGTGTGATGATTGTAATTGGTTCCCTCTCTTCATTTCATTTGACTCAAGAAAAGTTCAGATCTGTGCTAAATTTGAGCTGCTTCTTTAATCACCGGAGGAATTCCCTCTACTTTAAAGCAGAGAGTCAGGACCGCGCAACACCTCACAGAGCAGCTCTGGGACTGTGGGAGGTGAGGAGCCTCTGTCTCCTCCTCTCAGAGGCTGGGTAAGGATTCAGTGCCTCGAGTTGCCCAGAATAAGGCTGCCACTCTGCTGTTTACCCAGAAACCATGCTGAGTAGCTCTGCTCTTTCCCAGGTGACGTGTTACAGTTGTGGCATCCAGGCGGCCAGGCTGGAGGGGGTGGCCGGGGTGGAATGAGTCATGTATGTGGTCCAGGGATGTTCAGGCAGGAAGAGCACAAGACTGGGGCACACGTGCCCAGGATAGTCTGGCAGGGCAGAGGCAGATGGCAGCAGGAAGTCAGCTCCTCCTGCCCGCAGAATCAAAGGGCGCCCAAGAAAGTAGGGTGTCCCTAGCGATGCAGCAGTCTGCTACCTACAGGCAACTGACTCGCCGAAGGTGAGAGAGTCTAGGCCAGGAGAAGGGGCCCTGCTGCCTGGAGAAGGGACTGGCGCCAACTTCCCTACCTATCCCCGCTGTAGCTCAGTCCTCACCCACAGGACTGGATAGGTGGCTGTGAAGAAGTCCAGACTGTGGAGAAACCATGGGGCTCTGTCTATGCATTTCCAGGAGCTCCTAGGGCACCAGCAGGGAGCGGCCAGGGAGCGGATCACATGAGGAATTTCCACGCCTGGCGTGATGGCGTATGTAATCCCAGTACCCAGGAGCGAGGCAAGAAGATCACAGGTTGAGCCTAACCTGGGCAAGTTAGTCACTTGGCAAGGCTTTGAAAAATTAAAGAATGGCTGGGTTCAATCCTCAGTACTCAAAAAACAAAACAAAACAAAACAAAACAAAACAAAACAAAACAAAACAAAAAAAAGCCTGCAAAGCCTACCGACCGTGCTTCCAGAGCCTCTGGCCTCTTGCATGTCTCTGAACAACTCTGGTTTGTTGCTATTTGGCTTTGATTCCAGGGCTCAGGACACCCATCCCACCCTGATGATGGCAGAGGCCAGGTCCCTGCATGCCTGCTTAGAGGCAGGGCTGCAGCCTCCCCGGGGCACCGGCTCTCCCTGGGGTTGCAGCAGGAGGGTGGGGTGGCAAAGCATGGGTTTACCCCAGGGCAAGCTCAGAGTGATCACCCCAGTGAGGGTCTTCTGGTGCCCCCTCTGAACAGGGCCTCTGGTGGTCCGAATAGAGAATATCCGTTTCAAAGATGCAGAAGGACTGAACTGTCAAAGCGCAGCCAGCATGAAAGCAAGGTGCTGGCTTCACACTGGATAACGGCCCCGTGCTTTCTCTCCTTTTTGCTTCCCTGCTTTGCCTCTTGTGATTCTTTGCTCTCCTTAAAAGATTCTTTTGTAGGTTTTTTACATATACATTTTTTCTTATGTGTCTTTTGTTTCCATCTTCCTCCATATCTTCCTATTTTTTCCTCTTTATCAAGCCCCTCTTCATTTGAATAATGGGGATAAACTGTTTTAAAGGATTATTTTTATAAAGAAAGTTGCTTGCAATCAGACATTTAAAAATAGGTTATTATTTTTACGTCTCCTGCTTTCCCTGTACGAAAATGAATGGCCGTTCATTTTTGTTTTCTTGGTGTGGTTGATTAACGCACAGGACAAGGATACTTCTCGTCCCTGCTCTAGAAAACAAAGCCGTGGTATTTGCTTAGCTGTTGATAGCTTTTAGACAAACATGGTGGCATCAGAAGAATCACTACCAGTTCTGGAGATGTTCTGGAAACCAGATGGCTTCTGCTTGGCAGTTTCTCAGGCAAAGTGTTTACTGGCTCTGGAAACCTATTCAGAGCACTCTGTCCTGGGTCTCTGTGGTTCTTTTTATGTCCTTTTTCTGTGGTGCCTGCGGATTTGATGTTCCCATCAGTTTTATGGGGTGGTAATTTTATGTTCAGTCTTTGCTCAGCTTACTGATAGAAGCTCCTTACATAATTATGTACTTATTTCCAGAAAGATTTCCTAGGTGGACTAAATACTAACTATGTAATCCCATGTTTCATTACTCATGAATTAAATTTTAACAACATGTTTATTAGTGCTGACCACAAGGTTTGTGTTTCATAGCACCTAGAAGAACCATTGCACATGTAGTATGTTTCATGATGTCCTGCACCTTCATGAGAATCACTGAACAGGTATTTTGAGTATGAACCCAAGGTCTGTTCTTAAGCTTTATATTTCCTTACACACTGGATATATCTATGTGGTATTTCCCTCAAAAGCAAAGCAATTCAGAAGAATAGCTGTACCTTTTCACCTACTCAGAGATTTGGAATTAAATTTTGACCAAGTTCTCCTAAGAAAGTGGGTTCAGAGACCAAAATCATTAGAATGATTAGAGACAAAGCCAAATCTAAAACCAACAAAGCGGTCCTGAAGTGAGGAGCTCTTATGAAAGTGCATCTGGAATCCAAATTTCAGTATAGGTCAAAAAATTAAAATGCGTTTTTCAGAAATATTGGCCAGTACAGTGCCTGTAAGGTCTTACAGTTCAGCTAGGTGAGTCCAGAAATAGTGTTCCCTGCAGTAGAATATCAACCACTAACAGAAGCTCTGTAATTTTTAATCTCACAACCTGTGTGCAACATCACCTGGTTTCATTCACCCCTACATTCGAGACTACACTCACAGACAGTGACGCCAGGCTCTAAACCATTGATCTTTTCAGCATTCAGAGAACCCTTTGTGCTGGTCATTCAGACTCAGAGAATAGAATGAAATCCGTCCTCGTGCCATGGATTGTGAATGAGTGGGCACTGTCCGTGGCTCTGCTCTCTATTGTGACAATACAGACTTTCAAGATTTGTGGTTTTCCTGGGAACCTTATTATTCCAGGCCATGTTTGACAAGAGTGCACGGTATGTGACTTTGAGATTTCTTTTTTCACACACAATGACCCAGTTTTACACTGGGCCACAGTGGCTCCTGGCTTGGAGCTCTTCAAACCTAGTAGTAAATCCTTTTGAAATATCTCAGTCTATAAGACGAGAGGTAGAAGAGGGAGAAGGAGAGAGAGAGAGAGAGAGAGAGAGAGAGAGAGAGAGAGAGAGAGAGAGAGAGAGAGAGAGGAGAGAGAGAGAGAGAGAAAGAGAGAGAGAGAGAGAGAGAGAGAGAGAGGAGATGATAGAATGGTAAAGGTAGAAGACAGGCGTTTCAGTAACTACTGTGGGGTGTTTCTCAGTACCGAATATGGGGTGTTCCTTGCCTTGTCTTTCTGTGTCATTGTTTACATGGTGAAATTAGCATGCAGTCAGGACTTATGTGAATTTAGAGGCTTGGGGTCAGGGATTAGAGGAATGCAACGTAAAGAAAATTTACAATTCCCTTACCTGGGGGAGAGGCAGGATTTGGGGATGAAGATTCATGGACCATAGAAAGTCTCATATTTAATAACCCTATGACTTGGGGAGTAATGGGAGAAGGCAGGTGCACCATTAAATGTGGGCAAGATTAATGGTTAGTTCTAAGAGCCAGATTGAGCAAAGGTACTCATAGCCCAGAGATGCTGCAGGGGAGTTTATGAATCCCTCATAACTTTCCACGTGAAATCCATCACCAGGTGCAATGTGCGTTTTCAAAGGAAAGGATCTGAATTGTTGGCTTTTCCATATCTGCACAGTCTCTAATGTTTAAACTTCAATGGAGGAAATTACATTTCTCATTTGCTGTATGACTTATTACAATTAATTCCCCTTTCTTCTTAAAATGCTTTGTGTATCCTGTATAGTTAGCTTAAGAGCTTAGGGCATTGTAACACTGATATACTGAAAACCTAAATCATTATAAGCCCTCACATCTGGAGCGCTCCATTTTTTAATAATTCTGTTTGAAAGTTCTGAAACACCACCTGGATGGTTTTAACAATTTTTCACCATACTTTTCTGTCTTTAGATCACAAAGTCCATGGAATAACATACATAAAGTTTAACAACTTGGGCTAAACTTCCTAAAGTTTGGGTGCAAATTATTGTGGTTCCCGAGCCCCCATGCAGCATTAAAATACAACCTATTTCATTCATTAGCTCTTAAATTTGAGTAACAATTTTAGCACATTTGTCTTTGCATAGGGACATCATTTTTGTACAGTGCTGTTATTTTTCTATTGAAAACCAAACATAACTAACAAATGCCAGGTTACTCACTCATAGATTCCGTCAACTTGGCCATTGTTGTTGGTTCTTCTTTGTGCTTTTCCTAGAAGTGAGAAGAAAAGGCATTTTTAAAAATGTAAGACCTGTCTTAGGCATGATTTGGTGGAATGGGTTGATGGCTATGGCTCTCTTCTTTTCACAGGTCAGAATTTGGTCACCAATGGTTGGATGAATAAAAGTATTCACATCAAAGCTAAAGGATCAGGCAGTCACTGGAAAGAGATTTTTAGGGCATTAAAAAATGTCCCATTGCTTTGGCAGTGAGCTCCTCTCACTCTGATCTTGGATATATATATAATTGGTGACGCACGACGGGTTTCTTTGACACTGGATTTTTGACATCCATATGCCAAATTTCTACTTTGTGTTTTCCCTATAGAAGTTTTTTGGGGGGTATTTTTGGGGCTGATATTTTTGTACTCATTTTGGTTTCCAAAAAACTGAACAGGTTTCACATATCTTTCTTTGTCTTACATTTTTGGGTCCTTTTGGAGTTCTTTGAAGATCATCACTTTTGATGGAATGATAACCTTATCTATTTTGGGCTGAAGCCATCTTATTTCATACAGGATACAGGTAATAATCCCACTGAGTTTGAGAGAATCTGTCCTAATTAAAACTGACTTTGAAGCTCATGGTGATCTTTACTGAAAAGCTCCCTTTAATTTCTTCAAAGTTCCCTGAGTTTCCTTAATTTCTTTGAGTTCTTAACATGAATAGCAACTAAATACTGTTATTATTTTACTTCTTTTACAACCTTTTTTTCTGATGGTGAAATAAATACCTGCTCATTAGCTAAAAACTTGTGCACGAGGCTGAGGGAAATGACGATGAACTCGAGGCCGGCCTGGTCCCTTTAGCAAGACCTTGTCTCTAAACAAAACATAAAGAGGGCTGGGGATGTAGCTCAGAGGTAGAGCACCTGCCAGCATGCACAAGCCCCTGAGTTCACTTCCTCATATTGCAAAGCAAACCACACAACAAACAAACACCAAAACAAAACAAAATCTCGGAAAACACTGAAAAATTGTGTCTACTTACACAGTTTTCTCACAATGGTTTTCTATACGTGTGGCTACTTTAAGATATGGAAATACAATTCCTTTTTCATACATGTAAATATCTTTCCTATGCATACTTGATGCTGTAAGCCGATCGCTTTTGTGTTTAACAGCAAACATGTACCTTTCCGTGCCAGGAAAGGTAGAGCAATGATCACTTTGGCATTCACCATGGTTCTAGCACAGTCTCCTCGCCAGAACATTCCCATTTAATTTATTTACAATACTTTATTCCCTTCCCACTTACTTCACTTACATTATTTACTCTTGTAACACATTATAATGAACATCCTCCAACTCACAGCCTTGTGCCCTTCCTCATCCTGTTAGGTACTGAAGATAAATCCTAAAGTTTGTTATGACTTGGTCAAAAGCATGAATATTGAAACTTGTGAGACATATTACCCCATGTAAATAACAGTGTGTGTTATCATTTGGGTGAAAATGTCCACTACAGGTCTCATGCGTTCAGAAGTGGAGATTTTCAAAGATGAGTGGATCATGGGGATACTAAACTCACCAGGAGTTTGGTCCCATGGATGGGTTCAGAGCTGGGTGGGGCCTGGACGGAGGTGTGCCTCACTGGGGGTCTGGCCTGGAAGGGTGTATTCTTGTCCCCTGCCCCTTCCTCTTTCTTTCTCTGCTTCTTGGTTGCCATGGGGTAAGCAGTTTTCCTCTGCCAGGCCTTTCTGCCATGCTGTTCCTACTGTGGAGCCAACCACGACTGAACTTCTGACTGTAAGCAAAAACAAATTCTTCCTCTTTTAAACTGTGTCTTTTAGGTGTCCGTCTTAGCAGTGGAAGGTGGCAGGTGCAGTATATGACACTGTTCTTTTCCTTAGATTCTTGCTAACTTACCTATCAATTCAAGCCCCTCATCCCCATGCCAGTGTTTGACAAGTTGATACGCACGGGTTGGCACCTGGTTATTTATATTGATTTTTCTCTCTTTCTGATCATTTACTTATTAACAAGTATAGTATTCTTGATCCTTCTATTTTAACTCTTAGTTTCTTGTTGCCTTGAGGTAAACATCTAATTAACTAATTAATTATTAATACTGGGGATTGGACCCGAGGCTCTTGCACTAAACAATATCCCTAGCCTTTTAAAAATGTTTTATTCTGACACAAGGTTTTGTGAAGTCACTAAGTTGTCCAGGCTGAGCTTGGACTTGCCATCCTCCTGCCTCAGCCTCTCAGGGTTTGCATTCTGAGAAGCTCAGGGTGGCATTTATATTTCCTGTGGCCCCCAGAAAACTGCTGAGCACACTCGCACCTGAGTTGGGGGTCACGGCAGACAGTTGGTGAAATCTTTATCCATCCTCAGCGCGGCACTGTCCCCACCACTGAGCCTCCTGTCTTCAGGATTTTCTCAAGCTGATATTCACAGAGGTGAGATCAAGACACTGCCTGGGATTTCAACTAGTGACTGCCCCTGAGAAGAGACGCAGCAAAGGAACCGCCGTTCACCGAGCTGCCTGCTGGGACCTTTAGCCATGATATTTACTTAGCTTCACACCGTGTATGCCGCGATGCTGAGAAACAGAATGGCCTGCTGTCATGTCACAGAGACAAATGGGTTGGCAGACAGGAACTGTGACAGGGACACTGGACACACAAACCTGCGCATGAGGCCAGCGGGCCGTGGGGGCTTGTGACAATTCAGGCCTGAGAGCAAGAACTTGCCCTTGACCCGTAAGAGCCTGGTCTGCCTGCTTTGCTCCATTATTGACTCTGGGCTTCACCTTTTCACCTGCTCTGCTGTTCTGGCCCCTGGAGTGGTGTCCTGGTCCTGGTTCTAGCCTGTGACTTACTCCTCTGTCCTCATTCAGGACATGAACCTCCACAGCTTGGTCCTCCTCTGATGACTCCAGGGGTGAGGCCCCTTCCAATACCATAGACGCCAGCCAGACTCCAGGCTTTCTGTCCTCAAAGAGCCCCGCTTTGTGACCCCTGGACCCTGAGACATTTGACCTGTGTTGCTGGTGGGTGACCCTCGTGGTCATTTTCACCTTGGTGTGCCAGGATAGCTCAGTCCTAGCAACATGGAGACCCGCCTGCAAGCATTTTACTCCTCCCTGGAGTTAAATGGAAACCCCTGACATCGAGGGGTGGGGGAAGGTCCCTTGAAACCCCTAAATTTAGCTCTCTCCCTGAACGGTCCATATCATAATTTACGGAGGAAATCATGGCATGTGTTCTCAGGTAAGTAGCCGCTCCTCCTTCCTATTGAATGTCTTTGAACACCATCTGTCCTTCCTTCATTGTCAGGAAGGGGCCATTCACAGTGTGGACACTGGGGAGGCATTTACACGCCATTCCCGGTCGTGAACTAATTGGCTTCTCTATCCTGACTCTCAGCGTTTCCTTTGTAGTAAGCTTCTTGGTTGCTGAATGACACTGCTGGACGGGGTTCAGGGCTACAGCATGGTGAAATGGAACAGATTCTGTAAGCCAGGATCACATCCAACCCTCAGTGAGACTGTGGGCACGTGAGCCCAGGGCAGAGCGTGGCACTCCCAGGAGGGGTTCCGTGGAGCCTCCGTTCCCTCTCACCCTGAGTCCTGATGCCGAGCCCCAGCTGCTGCTCTGGTTAGCATCGCCTCCCTTTGCCTGGGGCTGTGAGCTCCTATGCTTTGTCTTTAACCCCCACCCCCACGATCTACCTTGAACACCCCACAGACTTAGGCAGCCCTTGCCTCAAATTCTTTTTCCTGGCCACAGAGAAAGCACGCATCATCTTTAGCCAGGGCTGGTCTTCCAGCTACCTGCCTTCTCCATTCATGGCCTAGCCTAGGCCTTTTAAGCTACCTTTCCACCTCGCAAGCACGAATCCTCTGCCGCGATGCCCCAAACTCCCTCTCCTTCTCTCCTTTCCAAACACATCCCTCAGAGCTCCACTGGACTCCTCCCCATCTCCAGTGTGCCCCACCCCCCTTTCTGAAAACCTCAGGGTTTTGTTTTTAAATACCACATTCATGCACAGATGCACCAATGTCCCAGTGTTAGATCTGCAACTCAGGCAGGGGACTTTGTGAGCCTCTGGAAAATTCTAGAGTCACCTCTGAAGAGCCTTGTCTGGACTGGGAGTGATACCTCACGTCTCTGGAGCTGGGACATAGGGCTTTCTCTTTTGGTCCTGGCTTCAGGGTCCACTCAAAGAAGTTGGGGGGGCACTATTGCATGGTAGGTGGCCACAGATAGCAATGCACTGTGCCTTTCAAAAACCCAGAGGAAAGGAGTCCCACCTGTAGCCTTGAGGAAATGACCAATGCTTGAGGACACAGAGAGGCTTAAACTCACTATACTGCCACATGATTTATGCTATCAAACATCACACGATATCCTGCAAATACGAGTGACTTTTATTTTTGTATCTGTCAGTTACATTCAAAAAATAGAATAAATAAAAAAACCACATACATCCAAACGCAAAAGAAATGGATTGCTGAGCCACCCCCACCCCACCCTGGCCACCCCCACCCCAGGGCCAGCCACACAGAGAGGGGTTCTGAACAGGTGTGTGTCAGAGCCAGTGCCAGCACTGTGATCTTTTAAGGCGGAGAGAACCCCAAGTCCACGGGCTTCAGCAACCTTCACACCACGTGTGTTTCCCTGGGGGAGCGAGGGTTTTGAATTGGAGGTATATGCTTCATGTTCTCCTTTTAAGTAGCAAAGCAAACCAGGAAGCTGGGAATCTTACTTTCCAGAGACAGAGTTTATATTGGCTTGAAAATATATTATTCTTATTTCCTGTGTTGGTGTCCCATTTGGGTAACATTATTTAGAGAGAAAGAGAAAGAGGGAGAGGGAGACAGGGAGACAGGGAGAGGAGGAGAGGGGAGAGAGACTGAGATGGATTCAGAAGAGTGGCGTATTCCTGGCAGAAGGTGTGTCCCCCAGGGGCTGGCGGACCCCAGGGGCTGCTGTCCTGCTGTGTCCTCTCACCTGCTGCTCTCTGGAAACCTCTGTGTGGGGTG